AAACAAGATCAAAAAGACTTTTTGGCTGATATAAGGTTTTAAAACTTGGTAAGATGGAAAGTTTTTGCAGTGTAAAAATCTGACCCTCTTTGTTGGGCCTTTTTAAAAAGTTTCCATTTTATACAAACTTCCAAACACATGCAAATAACAGGTAATAATGGTGTACAGTGGTTTAGTGGTCAGCTCTGTTGTCWCACAGCAAGAAGGSCAATGGTTCAAACCCCMGGTTTCAATTTGGGAGTTTTTGTGAGAAAAAATTGGCCAAATTTGCACTTTAATGTGAGATTTTTAGAAATAATCACAGTTAGTTTCCACCAGAGTTCATCTGTAACAAATTTGCGAACAAACCTCAAACCAAAACTAAAAAGCAAACAAACTTTTCATGACTTCATTCAGTTTTATTTATTTATTTTTTTACACCAGTTCTTTTTTTAAATCTCCTCAGATCGTTCAGAGACGCCGGCCACCGGCCACTTTTCCACGGCGAAGGAGGAAGACGAGAAAGAGGAGGACAAAATCGAGGAGAACAGTTTGGGGAGTAACTGAGAGGGCGAAGGGGGCGGGCGAGGGGGGAAATCTGGAGGGCTTTGGATCTGAGGAACCTGTAAGAAAACGAAGAAAYGCGCGGAGTCACGCTGGACGAGCTGTGAGTCGGAGGAACGGAGAGCTTTCTGTGTTACTTCACCTTGAAAGGGTAAAAATAAAGATTAAACGAGGACAGGACGGGAGTTAGCGAGATGTTTATGAGCAGGTGAWGAATGATCCACTGACAGCAGAACACCGACGCCACTTTGGTCCCTTTTTTTTATAAAAAATTAAAAAAACATGACGGGGTCAAGGTCAGGGAGAGACGTTCTTCACTTCTTCTGCTTCCAGTGATTCTCTAAAGATTCTCGGGTACATTTGAAGACTCACGTCTCTCATATAAATCTTCTGGAAGCACTTAAACACGTGAGGCGTGTGTCCTGCTTTATTTTGAAATCAAGGCCTACCATCATTCCTCTGTGTGTGTCGACATCTTGTGGTGAAAGTGAAGCTCGACAGGGTTGGAAGTCCTGCCGCTGGGACCGACTCTTATCTATTTTAGATAAATATTCAGGATGTTGTACTCGTTTTAACTCCTGTCTGTGTTTCTCATCTTTTTATCACTGCGTTTTATTAAATACTTAGACTTTCTGTAATCACGTATTAATAAATTCACTGTTTCACAGTTTGGGGTAAAGCTGTTCTTTACGATTCATTTTATTTTGAAAAGCCATCTTTAATTGAAGAAAGTTTATTAAAGTCCCCTTGGTGTTTCATTCATAGATTGATTTGACCCATAGTGCAGCAGGAGGGTTAAAAAAAATACCAAAATGTTTGTCTTTTATTAAAAGTTACTACATTAATGTGAGGATTAATTCTTACGATTTAGTAAATGATTAATTCAAAAGGTGAAACTACCTCTGATTTCCAAAAAATATTCATCTTCTGCCCCCATTCTTCACCCATCTGAGCTGGATTTATTAGAAATTTACAACAATATTGGTAGATTTAATTCTAAGTTTAGCAGTTTTCAGACAAACCTGCTTTTATACATTAAGTATTTTATAAMATTAGTTTTATCGTTGTTCTCTCGTGTTGTTTGGGAGCTATTTTTCTAATCTGAAGTCCACGAAGAGCTCAGCAAGAAGAGCACAGAACCACATTTGGAGTAAAATGAGCTCCGTCTGCACACAAACTCTCTGCTCTTTTTATCCTTAAATAAAAATAAAAATGTGTAAAAGTCAAGTTCAACACATGTTGAGTTCCAGTTTGTCTAATTAAATCGAACGAACTGTGAAAAGCTGAGATCTGATGTATGAGGAAGGCATTTATGCCGCAGATGAATGCATCATGTTTGTAAATAAAACTCTGTGAAATGTTTTTTTTTTGTTTGTTTTTGTTTTGTTTTGTTTTTTAACTGTAACCTGACTGGATGAGCAGGAAGTTGGATKTCGAGGCTCTGTAGCCGACGTCGTCGTCTTTCCTCCTCCAGACTGTTTTTCTTTTTCACCGGTTCCTTTCTGCTCCTGGATCAGAACTGAGAAAAAAACTTGTTTAAACCGACTCACTTATTTAGTCTTTTATTTCCTGTTCTCTWGTTTCTCAATGTTTTGTGGTTGATTTTATGTGAGCAAATCTGTGACATCAAAATAAACATTTCTTTCCCTTTAATTCAGCCCATGTATGCATTTTTTAAATTATTATTTGGTGATTATGTTTTATATAATTTATTTTAAAACACAATAAAGCACAAAACAAAACCATACAGGTAAACATGTCCAAATAACACAAATGAACTAAATGTACATGACAAAAAGAAAAAAAATTGTATAGGTCCTCTGGACGGGTTCTTCTCTAATGAAACGTTTCGTCTCTCCTCCAAGAGAC